CTTCATTTGCAAAATTTGAACACTGACAAGGAAAATTTGCCTCCTTGTTCATCTACATCTAATTCGCAAACAAGAACAGATAGTGCTCGAGCTCAGTAAAAAAATATTCTTAGCACAAAATATGTGGAGGCTTATGGCGATATAAGGGCCCTTATACTAGTAAGATCCGAAAACATGAGCCCACATGGATTCAGGAAGTCGGATGATGAAACTGCTTTCTTAAGGAACCCCTTCTTAAGTCGACAGAAAACATTTTAAATCACTGTGGGTTGAATAAAAATACTTATCCTAGTCTCTACAAATTGGCATGTACTGTTTTAGCTTGTCCACACACTCAAGTCAGCGTGGAGCGGCTTTTTCTTCTTTGAAATTCGTAGTTTGAAGTACCGTTTTAATTTAAAAAGTGATTTAATCGAAGATATTATCTTTATTCGGAATAATAAAATACATAACAAAAATAATTAACAAAAGAAGGCCAATTATTTGTCAGAACATTTCTGTTATTTATTAACAGATAGTTATGCTTATCATATTATTAAAGAAAATAAGAAAAAAAAGTTTTAAAAAATAACTATTATTATTTCAGTATTAGTAATTATATACGTTTTGTTTGGCAAAAATCAACATAATTAATCAAAATCAACAACTTTCGGGAATCCGTCCGTTATACAATAATGTTTTTTATGTATCGAATGTAAGTAATTAGGTACAAAAGTTTTTATTTAACAACTTTATCAAAATTTTCTCTAGAAATAAAATAATTTTAGACTTCCCTTAAAAATTTTCAGTGTCTTGTTTTTATTGGATATTTTTTTCATTTTAAAAGAAAATTTCAATAAAGTTACTCAGTTTGACGATTTGAATTTTTGTCACGTATTTCGAGATCGAGATTGATTAATAGTACCAATATATGTAAAAACATACTAAAACACTCTGTTTCATTAACAACTTTTTAAAAATTAGCCTCTTCATAAGTTGTGTTCAGCAGTCGTAAAGCGTAAGCATTTTTAGAACTTTGGCGACAACGCCAATGACAGTCTTATCCCTTTCTAACTTATACTAGCTGTAAGGGATAGATAGTCTGACATATCCGTTGATCGCAAATTGTTAAAATCCTTATGCGGTACGACTGCAGAAGTATTCCACCTTAACCACTTAACTGTTTTAATTAAGATTTCCAGGTTTGACGTTGACAACTTTTATATCGTCCTTACTATGGCTCCCTTTTAGTCCATCTACAATTTTTAAAATACGGTGATAGGCAACAGTTCTCATACAAGGGTGTAAAAATTGCAACTCTGTCGTCAGTAATTGGCAAAAATGATAATTTCTTTTGTCCATTATTTGGCATTGTAAGCAATCTGGGCAAACAGAATTTGGAATTTGCTGTGCCGATGACAGTTTATTTTCACACTCATTTTCCACGGGTGAACCACAGTCCAATGGTTCCTCAGAATTATGCTTTAAAGGTGGAGACCCTAATTGAGTTATTGACGATTCTAGTATATCACTTTTCGGCGGCCTAAAACTATGTGACAACGGTCCTTCTACTCGTATATCTTCGTTATCTTCGGTTTTGTATACTGGAGCAGAAGGTTTAGTCGTTTCCAATACATTTGTCAATTTTCCACAGTAATTTGTCGATTGCAAAATACTTTGCGACATTTCAATGTCTTTCGAGTCAAAAATAATGGGTGATAAATAGTTTCTTTCTCGTGGCTGCAAAGAAAATTTGTTATTTCAATCAAAAAATACGTTTTAATAAAATAATATTAAATGCGCCTGACAACACACATATAAATGCCGCCACGAGTCGTGAGCACACTTTTTATTGGTTGGTATGACGTCGACCACAATGACGCTCAACATGATTGGTTCGTCAGCCGATTCTCGTCGTCTATTGGGTTCGCACGTATCATTCGGCTACCGTACACTTCAGAGCAATTTTAGTGACAACTTTTTAATTGGTTTATTTTTGTTAATTGTAGTTTTACCTCGTTGTTTTGTAATTGTTGAGAGAATTGTTGAAAGAATTCGATATTAAATAGACAATCCCGACAAATGGTCTATTCTGTGTTTTGTTACATGAAATAATTATCTATGTATTGCGAAAAACATGATAGACGTTTATAAACAGACTGCTAAGGCGACTAATGTCTACGTAGCTACTGTACGTCGTATAGTTAAAGGAGTTAACGACTCAGAATTTCGAAAAAAAGTCAGCGAAAATATTCAATTATGAATTGAAATAACAACAGTACCTAATAATTTTGGCCGACAGTGTACCTACGCTGGCTCAATCCCCACCATAGTTCATCTGTGCTCACCTTTCGTGCCGGCAACTATACACATTGTCAATCTCAAAGGGGTCCCGAAGAACCTCGTTATTCAATGTACCGAACAACGGTTACACTGGGGGCGTCTTAGCAACACCCAGACTCAAGACCATTATAGAAAAGTACTTTTTCTAAACTTGACCCTACCGGAAATCGAACGCGGGACCTCAATGCGGCGACATCTTGAAAATCGGTGTTTTGCCCGCTACCCACGCGACCCACAAAGGTCGTCGGTAATATAAGTAACTTCAGTAAAAAGTCATGACTTTTTAAGTTAAGGTACAAATCTGTGGTATATATTATACAAAAAATGATAATATATAATAAAATATATCATGTATAATACAATATAATTAGAGAAGAATACCGATTTGAAAATCCAAGTTTTTCTTATAAAGATAATATAATATAATTATACGTGTTTGCTTAATACCTGCTCACAAAACAATATTAATCAGTTTCATGAGTAGATTCACCTCCCTTCGGATGTATGTATACGAGTATACCCTTTTTGTAACACCCAGTATATTTAGTAATACAGAAAAGGACATGGCCTACTTTTTATACTGATAAAAAAAAAGTTTCTTTGGGATGATGAAATTTACGCGATATAACTATAATTCACGCGGACGAAGCTACAGGCGAAAAGCTGGTTAAAAATAAATTAATGATACAAACCAGACATCATGCGTGAAGAATAATCACTTGCTTAAGTTTGTACAGGAATCACATCAATTACTTAAAAAGAAATACACGTTTGAAAACTTAGTGTAGGTGCCTAATTTCACCGAAATACCCGTTGAACAATTTGAACACACGCGAACAGAATGTAGGTATTTACGTACGATCGCGTACCTTGCCTATGACCGTTGATGTTAGAGTAAATAAGACGCCAGAACGATATATATGGTATCAATATCAATACCGATAAACTGACTCCCAAGTATCGATATTTTTATACTGAAATTGAATATCGATAAATCTATACCTAAATATGAGTATTTATATCGATAAAACGATATCGATACTTGCAAAATATCAGTATTACAGTCCCTACTCCCAATGCAAGTAAGTGCTGAAAGATTATTTTCGTTGCTTAAATTTGTTATAAAGAATATGAAAATGTCACTAAAAGATTCAATGATTGACGACATTCTGGTAGTAAGGTCCAAGCTGTTTCTAAAATAAATTTTGTAAATATTTTGTGACCCTTGGCATTGTAAAATTTATTTTTAAAAAAAAGTCCCGCTGGGTTGCTTGCTGGTTCTTCCCAGGACAGAGGTTTTTTTTCGAACCTGTGGTACGGTAAAATATTGACTTTCAATAAGAATTACTTATAATCTATATTGAATAAAAAATTATTCCATTCTATTCTATTCTATATTATATTTTTATATATATATATATATATATATATATATATATATATATATATATGTATCTTTTTCAATTCTCCTCTGTTGCAATACAACAATAGCCAAGCAAAATCTAAAATCTTACGGCACTGTCCGCACTCAGCGGAAACATACTCCGAAAAATTTTAAGATATGAAGAGTTGATAATAGATATCAACCAGTTTCGAGGGAATTTCTTTCATCAAGTGGATGGACAATAAAGCCGTGCATCTTCTCACCAATTTCATGTCGCCAATACCTACTCAAAAGGTGAATCGCAAACAAGTAGGTTTGGCACAATTTTTAGAGGTTACATGTCGGGATATTGTTTGTAAATATACTAAAAATATGGGAGGAGTAGATCTAATGGATCATAAGTGACCTATGAAATTGACAGAAAATTTAAATTAAAACCTTCGGGGTTTTTTTTTAACTTACTAGGCATAGCAATAAATATTTCGTATATATTATATGAAAAATTGCAAGGAGAACATTTAATCGAAGGTTTGTTTACTTTTGTCGTTAGAATATCGCGATATGTAGCGAGGACGATGATCGTGACATATTCCAAAAGGAAGCATGCTTTACCGTCAACGTTTATGACAAAGAAATGAATTCAAAATAAAGGACATATGCAATCATTCCATATGATGAAGAAATAATCTTAACGTAAAAGATGTGTGCAATGTTCTAAGATCGGTGTTAAGAATCGCACTAACAATGTGTGTGATTTATGTAATGTGAATTTATTATGCTTCACAGGAAACAGAAATTGTTTTGTTGAGTTTCATAATTTGTTAACTAAAAGCTGTTATTTTTCCATAAATCTATGTACCTAAATTTACAAACTATGAAATCCATTAATTGTCGCCAGGTAACGCATACTGGGACATATTTGTCTCAACAATTACAGGACAGTCTGTGGATCGTTTTATAATTTTACCAGAAATAGCCTTATAATATCCTTCAACACACATTTAAACCGGTCATTAACATAAAAACTTATACACATAAATTTTGTACCTGAAAGGATTAATGGAATATATAAAAGCTTATGTAATAAAATGAAAAATAATGTAACACAATGACCGGGCTCTGTGAAAAACAACACAACTAGACCCAGGAACCAACAATTTGTACACATACAAATGCTAGTCTATTCTGGATTTTGGTTTCATTAGTTATTATGGTGCTAACCTTCTATGATCGTTTGACTGGAACCCAACATGAGGTGCACTGGCAATCTGGACGGAGTGAGGGGTCCACTCACCTCGCCGCAGATCTTGAAGGTGCAGGAGTGCTCCTCGAGCTCAATGTTGGTGATGCCGGGCACCTTGCGCGCCTGCTGGATGTTGGCGCCGTGCGTGCCGATGGCCAGCCCCATCAGGTCCTCGCGCACGCTGAACTCGTCCGTGTACCTACGTTACGTACATACATACAATATTGCCCTTACATAAATACATTTTACTATGATATATTGTGTATTACATTAACAACAATAAGGGAAATAAAAATTACAGATATTTACAATATTAACTGAAATTTTCTATTTTATAGTACGTTTCTAGGGCAGGCGGAAAAAAGTACATTGACCTTTGACAATATCATCGGGGTAGGCAATCTTTTTCGTTTAGGTTCATTTTTTTATCCTTTTTCATTACATACATCATCAGAGTGAAAGATAAGGGTGCCGAGTGCGAAATTCTTTTCAGGACCTATCCTAAGTCTATTATGATATAATAAAGAAAGATTATCCTGTACCTGAATGAATTAAAAAGCAAATTAATATTTATTTAAGTTTATTATTTATAAATCATGAGTTATTACAATTTTCATTATTACGTTAATAGTAGGTAATTACCTTAATAAGTCGGTAGGTAGGTAGTTGTATAAAACATAACCACTTCTTAGCAGTCAGGTAAAAAGACGAACTTTTAATGACAAGCATTCTTAAGCAGCCAACCTTGAAGCATGCATAAACTTCTCATAATAGATTGTCAGAGACACTTGACAGACTATTCATCTGTATCTATTTCAGAATCATTTTATGATGATGAATACGTAGAAGAGTCCGTCACATTGATTGTAAAGTAAAATATCGGCAGTCTTCGACGATGCGACACTTTCCGCTTCTTTCGTGGTGACGTAAGTCTTTATGAGATTTTCATATCGATGGACTCGATTTCATACTAGTGATAATATACAAAACGTCACAAAACAATAACAAAAACTTTAATACAAAACGTAATAATACAACTAACAAAACAAACTTAATAAAATTTAAAACAACTACTATAAACGAAAATTTTAAATCTAAAACTATCTACACGCAAGCGCATCCCAAAGCAGAATGAGAAATGAGTTCTGCTCCATCCGCTTTCTTAAATACGCACGGCGTGAGGCCTATCGCAAATCGCGTCGAAACAGGTTTATTATCTCTGAATGACCACTTCCTTCACCCTACCCTGTACCATGAGACACGCTTAGCCCATAATGATACGTAATCCATAAAGAAATGTATGGAAGTATTAACTGTCGTTTTCTTTCGATGCTAACATAATACTTGAGGTCAATGTACTTTTTTCCGCCTGCCCTAGAAACATACTATATCAATTAATACCATATAAAAAAAATTACTTACCCTCCTTGATTGTGTATTTTTGTAGATTCCAGCTGTCGAGCTGCTTCTTCAGTCTTTTTTAACAATAGTAGCTTTTGTGTTAGATTTCTGAAACAAACAACAAACCACTATCATGTTAGGTTAATAATTGCTATTGTTAGATTAATAACCACTATATTATTGTTTATAACGGAATTACTCGATAAGTGATTTGACTTTATATTATAATAATTATTAGTTACTTACATTAATGATTGCGGATAATGGATAGAGTAATATAATGTAACCGGAAGGATAATGTTTTGATTGCTGTAAAAGAGTGGGGCGGAAATGACGCCGCCCCACCTTGCTAACAAGTGCTAAAGGTTGATTAGTAAAATGGAGAGTGGCATTAGCTCAACGCGAGCCGTCGCAGTAAGACGTGAAGTTAAGTTGAATTGTGTATAAGTTTAAATTGTAAAGTGAGCCAAAGTGTAATAGTTTGAATCTACCGTTTTGTTTTCTACCTGGCCTCGAAATAGTATTGTAGAAAGTGAAATAAAATGTAATAGTTGGAATCAACCTTTTATTTTCTACCTGATCTTGAAATAGTACAAAAGGTCAGAAGTGGGATAAATAAGGCTCTAGAAAACTACCCTTACTACGTCCACGGCTCGGAAAAGCTTTCAGTTACGCTCAACTGTGAGATGGAGGACGACACTAGCCGAGGGGAAGGGTCTAGTGCTCGTCTAGGAAGAGGAAGTGGCTCAATGATAAAAGGAGCCCATGTGCTTAGTCGAGGGGAAGGACTAACACATGGGAGTGACCAAGGAGCATCCGAGGTTGAGGATGTAGGTCAACAGGAAAGGATTAGGAGGATGAGCTCGAGGATAGAGCGACCGGTACCATTGGATAAAATGGACAAGGATACGATGATTCGGAGAGGACGGTCGCATGGAAGGCGATCGAGTGGACGACGATCGCGTAGACAACGATCAAGCGGCTCTGACGACAGGGACGAATACGAAAGGCGGATAAACAAGATACATATTTAATTATCTTGCCACGTGCACCGATCGAATAATGTAAGTATTTTTCGTGTATATAAATTGATATTTCGCATATTTTCCTACTAAGTATAACTGTAATTGTTGATTTTAAAGTTTGAGGAATAATAAATAGATCATTTATACGATTATTTTTTTTTTATTATTCTACCGTCTTTTTCGTATAAGTCGTGAAAAAAAAAAAAAACGTAATACTGATAATGCAACTCTGTTTCTTTTGATAATACACGACATTATGAAAACGAAATAAATTTGTTAATGTTATAACTATTGCAGTATGATGAATCTGTACCAATAATAAATATAATGATAAAAAAATAACCTACACAGCTTAACTATTTACGGTGCAACTTTTACAATGAAGGTCAGGTTCTAATTATAGAAATAATTTGCTATGTACTTTAAAAGAAAATCTCTGGACAAGTTCTAAGCTTATACCTGTAAGTTTCAGATAATCGGAGCTATTATGGATGATGAATTTGCTCAAGGACAAGAGCAAGGACGGATGACCCGAGGTAAGGGTTGAATGAGATTAGTGATGATGCGATCAGTCGAGGGGAAGGACTGGCGCATCTATCTAATCAAGGAGCACCCAGGATAGTTTGGTCAAGGACAAGACCAAGGACGGATGACCCGAGGTAAGGGTTGAATGAGATTAGTGATGATGCGATCAGTCGAGGGGAAGGACTGGCGCATCTATCTAATCAAGGAGCACCCAGGATAGTTTGGTCAAGGACAAGACCAAGGACGGATGACCCGAGGTAAGGGTTGAATGAGATTAGTGATGATGCGACCAGTCGAGGGGAAGGACTGGCGCATCTATTTAATCAAGGAGCACCCAGGATAGTTTGCTCAAGAACAAGAGCAAGGACGAATGACACGAGGAAAAGGGTTGAATGAGATTAGTGATGATGCGACCAGTCGAGGGGAAGGACTGACGCATCTATCTAATCAAGGGGTTGATGATGCGACCAGTCGAGGTGAAGGACTGGCGCATCTATCTAATCAAGGAGTTGATGATGTGACCAGTCGAGGTGAAGGACTGGCGCATCTATCTAATCAAGGAGTTGATGATGTGACCAGTCGAGGTGAAGGACTGGCGCATCTATCTAATCAAGGACTTGATGATGCGACCAGTCAAGGAGAAGGACTGGCGCATCTTTCTAATCAAGGAGCGCCCAGGATAGAGGTGCAAGGACGGAATTTCAGCCCGGTATTGATACAGAAAACTCCCTGCTCGAGGATAGAGCAGGAATTTTCCAAGGATGAGGAAGGACGACCAAGGAAGGGAGTCCAAACATGGTATCAGACTAATGAGTCTGGTAGTGAGGATGGAAATGATGGAAGAAAGAAAAGGGGTAAACGGTCAACTCACCATAGATTGGAATCGAAGAGTAAGAGGAAGCGCGATCATTTGACATCTTCGGAGGATGGCGCCTCACAGCATACTAGGTGTCAGCGGCAAAGGAGTATAAGTAAGGAACCAGGTACTAATATTATCGGATAGGCCTTAACTTGTTTTCAACACTAACGTCATACCGGAATTTGACCCTTTGTCGAAAGAGCAAACTATTTTAACTTGGATAAACAAAGTAGAAGGGTGCGCGGAAATTTATAACTGGGATGAAAAAGAAATCATTCATTATTCATTACCTAAGCTTAGTGGTATTGCCAAGACCTAGTTTCATGGTTTGCCCCTGTGATAAATATATAATCAACATAAAAGTTAACGGATTTTCTACAACCTGTTACGTTGACTTGGGGAGTCAATGTTCTTTAGTTAGGTTAAGTGATGCAGAAACTATGGGACTCGACATTAATTCCCAAACTAAGTTGCCTGTACTAAAAGGGATAGGGTCTAACTTAGTAAGACCATTAGGCGTAGCGCTAGCCTCCGTAACAGTGCAAGGCTTAACGGAGGATATAGAGCTTTACATAGTTGACGATTACGTTCTTAATCACCCAGTTTTGTTGAGGCACTCATTTACAGAAAAATCTGATATTTTGATTATCAAAACTCCTAGTAAATTGATCTTCCAAAGGATAACTCATAACAAAATTCGTTTATTAACTGAAAACATCGCCAATATTCCTAGTATAGCAAACGCAAACGCTAGCATTGCAAACGGTGGAAGTATGTGCCAATACGGACAGTGATTGTAACATTTGCGTTATCGGATCGCTACGTGGTTCAGCTGGAAAAGAGTTTTATATTCTACCTGGAGAATACGAAATCAAGAATGGTCGAGGTATTCTCTTAATATGTAATATATCAACAAATGATATATGCATAGGAAAGAATTCACTTTTAACACGTGCCCTACAGAAACATTTAATGCCTACGGGTTCTACAACTCACGTATTGGATTCGTATAAAGTCACCCTTGATTCAACTGGAATAGATGAAACAATTAACTGTAGTTCTCAACTTACTAATGAACAAACACTTGAGTTACAGAGATTACTTTCGAAATACAAAGAATGTTTCTCAAATGGACTTTATGATCTCGGGTTTACAAATGCTACAGAAATGGTAATTGAGTTGGAGAACTCTGAACCAGTCGTTTACCGTCCCTACCGCATGTCTTATACTGAGCGACAACTAGTAAGGGACATGATAAAAGAGATGGCCGACAGTGGAATCATAAGAGAGTCTTCATCGCCCTATGCCAGCCCAATTGTATTGGTACAAAAGAAGACTGGTGAGAAACGGCTATGTGTCGACTACAGGGCTCTTAACAGAAAGACGAAGAAAACTCATTATCCATTACCTCGAATCGAAGATCAATTAGATTTACTAGCAGGTAATACTTTATTTACATCATTGGATTTGGCTTCTGGCTATTACCAGATACCAATTTCTGAAGAATCTCGAAGCAAGACTGCTTTTGTAACGCCCGATGGGCAGTATGAATTTAATCGTATGCCGTTTGGGTTGGTAAATGCACCATCTGTGTTTCAACGCACCATCAACGAAATACTTATGGAGGCTAAAATCAAGTATGCCATTGTATACATGGATGATGTGCTTATCCCGTCTAAAACCTTTGACGAAGGCATTGTTAGACTAGAAGAAGTACTCAAACTCTTGAAGAGAGGAGGTCTAACCCTCAAGTTAAGTAAATGCAATTTCTTCTATGAAACTATTGACTTTTTAGGATTTGAAGTAAGTGCTAATGGAATCCGCCCAGGCAGTAGGAAAACAGACGCTGTCTCAAAATTTCCGAAACCTCGCAACCAACATGAATTAAGACAGTTCCTTGGGTTATCTGGATTTTTTAGGCGTTTTATCAAAGGTTATGCTACAATCACGGCATCATTGACTAGCCTTTTAAAGAAGGACTCTTGCTGGACATGGGGACCAAGCCAAGAAGAGTCCTTTTTAAAAATTAAGGAAATACTAGTCAACCGCCCATTGCTAGCTCTTTATGACCCTTGTGCAGAAACAGAACTTCACACAGACGCAAGTAAGGAAGGTGTGGCAGGAATATTACTGCAGCGAAATTCAAAGAACACATTACAACCCATATCTTATTTTAGTAGGAAAACAAATGCACACGAGCGTCAACTTCACTCATTCGAACTCGAAACTTTAGCAGTGGTTGCGTCATTGAATCGCTTTAGAGTCTATCTTATAGGAATACACTTTAAAATTGTAACTGATTGTAACGCCCTTAGATCCACTCTGACTAAACGAGATTTAGTAGCTCGTATTGCGCGCTGGTGGATCCAGCTACAAGAATACGACTGCACGATTGAATATCGACCAGGCGCCCGAATGTCTCATGCAGATGCGCTTAGTAGAAACCCGGTGGACTGTTCGTCTGAAGGTATTGCAGATGACCGGCTAATATGGGATGTGTTGGCGATACAGCAAAGTCATTCGGACTGGATAGTTACCGTGCAATCTGCTGATGACGAAATAAAGAAAATAAAGCACATATTAACGGACTCCAAGGCAGACCAATGTGTAGACATAATTAAAAACTACAAACTTAAAAATGAGCGCGTCTATCGAATTGTTGGCGATTCACTAAGATGGGTAGTACCTAAGGGAGTACGTTGGCAAATACTCAAAATGAACCACGACGACATCAGGCATTGTGGTTTTGAAAAAACATTGAAACGAATCCAAGAACATTATTGGTTCGCTAAAATGCGCCGCTTTGTAAAAAAATATGTGACGTCTTGTCTCGAGTGCGCACATCACAAAGCGCCGGGAGGAAAACGTGAAGGAGAGTTACATACAATAAATAAGGTCAGTATTCCCTTCCACACAGTCCACGCAGATCACTTAGGACCCTTTGTGAAAAGTAAGAAAGGGAATAGCTATTTGTTAGTTTTGATTGATGGCTTTACAAAATATATTAACATTACTCCTGTTAAGAATACAAAGTCCGTGACAAGCATACAAGTTATTAAAAACCACATAAGTTACTTCGGCGTACCCACGAGACTGATCACCGATAAGGGAACTAGCTTCACGAGTAAAATTTTTCAGGATTTTATTATGTCTTATGGTATCAAACACATCACAAATGCCGTTGCTACTCCAAGAGCTAACGGTCAAGTAGAACGTTTTAATAGGACCATTTTAGATGCTTTATCGGCATCTGGACATGGTAAAGACGATAAATCTTGGGACAATTATGTACAGGATATTCAAGTCGGTATAAATACAACTAAGCATAAAACTACACAAAGGTCCCCATCTGAGTTACTTTTTGGATTTAATATAACCGGTAAATCAGAAGGCATCCTAAGCTCTGTTATCAATGACACATTAAATGGAACTCCATTAGAAAAGTTAGACGAACTTAGGCAAGATGCTAGTACAAAAATTAAAGCACAACAAATTGAAGATGCAAAAAGATTTAATGAACGTAGAAAGCCCGCAACTAAATACAATGAAGGTGACTTAATACGTTTAGAAAAGCAAGTCCCACACGACGGAAAATCACAAAAACTTGTAATTAAATTTCAAGGCCCGTATCGCATAGTAAAAGTGCTACCAAATGACAGATTTCTAGTTGAAGATACGCCGCTTACCCGTAAAAACAGTAGAAAATATGAAGCTATAGTGTCAATTGACAAAATTCATCCGTGGATGAATTTCAATAGAGATTTTGAGTCTGATTCAACTGATAATAATACAGTTGACACTGAATAGTTAAAATTAGATATTCATTGGTTATATTATACAAACATAAAAAAAGATAACTGTGCATTTAATACCAATTATAGATTTTATGACGGAAGGTCAATTTTAAATTTTGATTTTATTATTTTGATTAATATTGTATTTATATCTATCATGCTTAGTCTAGTTTAGGATATGTTAAATGTAATTTCGTTACTTTCTTTTATACTTGCGGGGTTTTTTTTTTAAGTGTAGAAGCGATGGGACTCGCTTTGAGTAGGATGGCCGAGCTGTTAGGTTAATAATTGCTATTGTTAGATTAATAACCACTATATTATTGTTTATAACGGAATTACTCGATAAGTGATTTGACTTTATATTATAATAATTATTAGTTACTTACATTAATGATTGCGGATAATGGATAGAGTAATATAATGTAACCGGAAGGATAATGTTTTGATTGCTGTAAAAGAGTGGGGCGGAAATGACGCCGCCCCACCTTGCTAACAAGTGCTAAAGGTTGATTAGTAAAATGGAGAGTGGCATTAGCTCAACGCGAGCCGTCGCAGTAAGACGTGAAGTTAAGTTGAATTGTGTATAAGTTTAAATTGTAAAGTGAGCCAAAGTGTAATAGTTTGAATCTACCGTTTAGTTTTCTACCTGGCCTCGAAATAGTATTGTAGAAAGTGAAATAAAATGTAATAGTTGGAATCAACCTTTTATTTTCTACCTGATCTTGAAATAGTACAAAAATCAGTAGAGCAATTTGTTTACATTTTTTTTAGTTATTTCTTGTTCTTTACTATTAATGTCAATTCAAACCCTATAAGACCAGTGGTTCTATAACCGTTTAAGGATGAGGGACCATTTAAATGATTTTTTTTTTATTTTTCCATAGATCAACAACTTTTGAATACAAAAATGTTGATTTTCAAGGTTCTATGAATAAAACCATACAAAAATGAACGTGGCAAGGTGTCTTTGTGCATCCCGTTATTTAATGTAATGCATAATAAAGATACACTATCAGCAGTATATATTATGTTAGAGAATTATATGATGCCTTCGTGGACCACTTCGGGTGGCTTTAGGGACCACCAGTTAAAAACCACTGCTATTGACTTTACTTGCTACAAGATATTATTTAGAATTTTGCTTATTTGTTCAAATTATTGTAAAAAAACCTGATATAAAAGATACTGTTCTGTATTAAAAAAAAAACCTAAATTGTTATATCAATTTACTTTAACTACAAATAACAAAATTTATTAATATTATTAACTATAATTTAAGGTTGAGAATACTTGAAGCATTAAGTCAGCTCTATGTACAATACATTTTGTTAAGTTTCAAAGGATAAAATTTATGTTAAAAACCACAACAATTTGCATTTTAGCTATACTTTGTTTTTTTTTTTGGTATCAATTTTTATCTCAGATGTTTGTAGGAAACTTTATACTACCAACTCAACACAAACTCAGTGCTGGCGGCCCTGTAGTTTCCATAATAATGTGAGCACTTGTTTTGTCCCAATGGTGAGTCTGCCATTCAGGACAAATAGGAACTCAAATGTGGCTCATCAAATGAGATCCCAATGAAAGTGCATAATTTTATAAAAATTATATCGGAAATAAATCAGCAGCATCTTCCTAATAACGACTAAAAATGAAAATATGCGGTTGCCAACTGCTTGTCAAGCATGGCATGTATGGCAAATATCCTTCCTATGAGGCAATCTATGAGGGAGGTCTATGTTCAGCAGTGGACTTTAATAGGCTGTAACATTCATCATTATTGTTCTTCTCAGTAAATTACATAATAGACTAAAACTAGTTACCCATCACCGAAAATGTTGCAGCACTCAATTCGCTAATTGAATCTGAATTAAATTTGTCAGTGTTATAATAATCATATTATTAACATATGTTTTTTTCTCTCTTTTCCTTAATTGCTAGCTAACTAGTTACCTCATCTTAGAACTTAGTGTGTTAATAAATAAATAAATTCATAATGTCCTTTAGTTAGGACAATGTGACTCAATAAGTTTAAAATATTGTAAATGTTTAGTTAAAGGCACTATAGGTCTTATATTAATATTTATCCATGTTACTATCTATTTACATGACTGTTGCCTTAAATAAATTAAAAAAAAAAACAGTGTCTTAGGTGATTATTACCCATGCTGTGATTACTGAGCTACAATTGAAGTATGAAGACAGCAGCAAATCCTCTCAATTCGAAGGAGGGTATTTCCAGGGGTTAAATATATAGCATGCATTGTATATGTACAAATGCATGCTTTATATTATGCAGCGAGGTATGTGAAATTGTATGTTGTGAGTGGGTGAACAGGCGAGTTGGCAACAGGACGTTTTAACTAATTTGAATTGTAACCAGGAAGATGCTACCGCTCATCTTCTTTTAGTTTTCCTCTGTCGCCACTTACTTAGGCTGCACTAAAAGTATCGGGAATGGAATATTTCCACTGTTCCTGTCATATTAAAACCTTTTTAATTTAAAACTCCTTGGTTTTAAAAATCGAATACTATTTATTTATTTAAAAAAAGATTTTCGGTCTTGTTACAAGGTTTTGTCAAACTTGTTTAGTCGTTGAGAAAATGGAATTGACTTGAGAAAATTCAAGAGTGATGATTTATTATGACTTTCGAAGTGGTTTAACACAAAAACAGTGTGTTGACCGGATAATTTCTGCATTTGGTGACGAAGCCCCATCGAAAACCACAATTTATCGCTAGTTTGCTGAATTTCAATGTGGACGTGTCAAGCTCAGTGATGATCCCCGTCAAGGTCGTCCAAAAACTGCAGTCACCCAAGAAAATGTTGATGCTGTGCGTAAGCTGATTGAGGAAGATCGACATGTCACATACCGCGAAATTCAGGCAACTTTAGACATTGGCATGAGTCAAATACAAATAATCTTGCATGAACAATTAGGTGTAAAAAAAAATTGTTTTCCCGATGGATACCGCATTCGCTCTGTGAAGAGCAAAAAGCGGCTCGCGTTACTTGGTGCGTCAGAACTCTCGAAAGATTCCACGTAGGATCCTCAAATGCTATATACAACATCGTATCAGGTGACGAATCCTGGATATACGCGTACGAACCCGAAACAAAAAATCAGTCTCGAGTTTGGGTGTTCGAAAATGAGTTAAAGCCAACAAAAATTGTTCATTCACGGATTGTTGCAAAAAAAATGGTGGCCACGTTTGTCTCCAAAATCAGCCATGTTACGACTATTCCTCTTGAGGGACAAAGAACGGTTAATGCAGAATGGTATGCTAGCATTTTTTTTGCCACAGGTCGTTTCTGAACTCCGTAACGAGAACTGCAACCGCCGCATCATCCTCCATCACGACAATGCGAGTTCTCACACCACACATAGAACAAAAGAGTTTTTAGAGCAAGAAAACATATAATTATTAGACCATCCGCCATACAGCCCCAACCTAAGCCCTAATGATTTCTATACTTTACCTAAAATAAAGAATAAATTGCGTGGACAGAGATTTTCATCACATAAAGAAGCTGTGGACGACTACAAAACTGCCATTTTGGAGACCCCAACTTCCGAATGGAATGGTTGCTTCAATGATTGGTTACATGGTATGGAAAAATGTGTCAAATTTCGCGGAGAATACTTCGAAAAGCAATAAATACATTTTTAAATAGTAATGTTGTGTCACTTCCTTGATTCCCGAAATTTTCAGTGCCGCCCTCGTACAACATCCATGGGACGATATGGTGTAGTGGACTGTTACACCGTCGTCCTACACGCCCTCTACAAATGTAAGAGGCTATTGCGTGCGTGTGCGTGCGTGCATGAGTGAGTGTTTGTATGTGCGTGTGCGTGTGTGATTGCGCGCAGCCACCTGAAGTGCATCTCCTGCAGCATGGTGGCACGGCGCTGCGAGGTCTCGCACCGCGAGATGACGGCGAGCGCGCCGCGCTCCGGCACGAACCACACCAGCGCGGCGCCGATCGCCTTCTGGAACTCTTTGTGTGCGTTCTCCACCTTTGCGCTGCAAAACGCACGCACAAGTTTATACGACATATACAATACAATCATTTGAATCAGTATATAGATTACAATACATAATATGAAGTATTTTAAGTTTTACGACTGGTTCAGAAAAAAAAAATCTCTGTCCTGGAAAGAACCAGCAAGAAACCCAGCGGGACTTTTTTAAACATTAATTTTCATTATAATAATTCTATACAATTAAGTATGAAAACATTTAGAAACAGTATTGTAGAGATCACCTCATTCCTAGGTGTTATTATCGATCATGTACACTTTAGTAGTATAAAAACCCATAATAAATTATTTTTAAAATAAATAAAAATATTAATCTGCTGCATATTTTCTGGAACTTTGTTGTAAAAGCATGTACATTGCCCATGAAGGAATTAATAACTGTTTGCAGTCAAGTAACTGGTATAATGACACAATTCATAAAGTGTAGTGACACAATCTACCATATAACATCTCGAGTCTAGCCATTATACTAGGGGAGACTGGATAATCTGCACGAGCTACCACCGTTGAAGCTGCAGTGATGTGCGATGTCTGGCACAAAAAGCAGTGGCGAAATTTCCCATGGAAACAGTGCGTAAATCCATAGATTCGTGGCCAGACAGATTAAAGGCCTGTATAAAAGCCAAAGGTGGCCATTTTGAATAGAATATTGTTTTTATTTTTTGCTGAGACTTTATTAATATTTACATATAAGTTTTAGTAAGACTTTACTTAAGAATTACTTCATTAAAAAAATGAATTTTCATTTGTAACAGAGTATGACCGGACTAGGTATACCTTTAATCACTTAATATATACTATCATTTAGTTACCAATTTTTAAATTAAATACCGATATAATATAATTTATGATGTTAATCCATAAGGTATATTTTACTGGTAATATCCTAAGTTATTATATAACAAGACCCTACTGTAAAAGCACTTACTATTCTTTGAGATCATCAGGTACGGGTATTTCGAACTTGTGAAAGGTGTTCTTGTCAATGGGCGTCTTGGGCGTCTTGACACGTAGGCGATCTTTTGGTACGATCTCTGTGTAGCAATTGTCCCACTCCAGGTATTCAATTACTAGAAATTCCCCCCGCATCATCTGTAAAAGAGAAAAGAATGGCGGTCGTTTAATTTGATACCTGACAGTGACACTCGAACATTGGATAAAAATCAGTCTCGGACGATCAAAGAAAGATAACTGGGGTGCCGAGTACCTACATTTAAAGTGGTGCCGCACATCTTTCTTATTTCCGTCCTTAAGCCCATAAAAATTCACTGCTGGACGCATACACATACGCATACGCATACATATACACCTAAAACCATGTTGTTGACTACAAATAATTTTAGATGCATATGTGTAATCTGAGTATACTCTTAATGTTTTGGCTTGGTTTTTGCGTCACAAGCGGGATTTAGAAAGGTAATGGGATGTACAGATGAAGTCTTTTCCATGCGCATGATCGCGAAGAAGTTTTTGGCCAAAAACCAAAAGGTTTTTTGGGCGTTCATGGACTTGGAAAAGGCCTATGACAGAGTGGATAGGGATGTGCTATGGCAAACACTGAACTCATTTGGGTTGAGCGCTGGCTTGATACAGGCAGATCTCTTTATAGGACTCTAGTGCTTGTGTTAGGATAAACGGGATCTACTCGGACTGATTTGGCATCCATAAAGGTGTCAGACAGGGCTGTGTGGCTTCCCCATGGCTGTTCAACCTATTTATGGACAGTTGTTTGCAAAATTTGAAAGTTTAAGAATGCGGATTAAGAATGGGTGAGTTAACTGTCAAATGCCTTTTGTACGCCGATGATCAAGTTATTCTTGCATCGTCGGAGGCCGAGTTGCAAATGATGGTTAATTAACGAACAAATCATTAAAAGAAAGGGGTATGAAAGTGAACGCAAGTAAGACTAAAGTTATGGTTTTTGAAAGAGAAGAAAGTAAGACGATATGTGAAATAAGAATAGAAGGGGAGTTGATCGAGCAAGTAGATGAGTTTGTATATCTGGGTTGCGTACAAAAAAAAAAAAAATACACTCTATTGTGAAGAGTCAAAATGTGTCGAAAATGGCACGTATGGCAATTCACAAAGCTGTGTTGGTCCCTACTTTGACGTATGGTAGTGAAAGTTGGGTGTGGCAGAAGTAGCACGAGAGTAGAATGAACGCAGTAGAAATGCGGTCGTTAAGGAGTATGTTAGGGCTGAATCTGAATGACAGGGTGAGAAATCGTGTGATTTGTGCGAAGAATTGTGCGAAGAGAAGAGTGTGGTTTGCAAGATGATGTTATGACCAGGATTAAGAAAGGAATGCTTCGGTGGTTTGGTCATGTGGAAAGAATGAATGAGGAAAGAGTGACAAAGAAAATTTATGTTGCACAAGTGAATGGCAGAGTCGGAAAGGGACGTCCTAGGCGAAAATTTATCGACCAAATTGGCTATTTATTAAAACCGGGCCAAATTAGGAGTACCCTTAACCGACGAGCATGTATGCGTAGGTATATGGATGTGAAGGAGGCGAGAGAGGTGTGTCAGGATCGTGCCAAATGGAATCTGTAGTCTCTGCCTAAACCTCTGGGTGACAGGCGTGAGTGCTTCTGTTATGTTAGAAACGTACGTAGTGTCTTCGTATTTCTTTGACTGAGATCGCATTGTAATTTTATCTAACAGAGCCAAGCTGCAGATGTATTAGAAGAACCTCGAATTCTGTACACACGCACAGAATACTAGTGCAGCATTATGATGCTGTGTCGCATGGTGTGTGGCACTCCATCTTAGCCCTCAAAGGTGATTACGCATCTGCATTTTGATTCCTTCAATAAAATTCTATGCACACAATATACCGCTATCAAAATCACAATAGATATAAACTTCCAACAGATAGTTAAATGTAGAGTTTGCATAATTCTACTATATCATTAATAATCCACCCCCTATTATTGACCACACAACGATTTTTACAGGATTTAATATGTATCATTACTAATATTAGAGATACATATAATTTAATAAATATATTTTTAGCAGTAGTAGAGACACGTCATATATTTTAGCAGTGGTAGAGAGACGTTATATGTTTTTAGTTAGGGTTGTAACACGAATGGGTCGTCTCGACCGGGGTAGCACCACATTCTCACAGAATACCAGCGTGAAATAGCAGCTTAATTCTGCTGTGTTTCATGTAGTGAGTATAGAGAAAAGGAGACCGTTTGTAAAACGACGTATTCCATCTTAGTCCTCAGAGATGACAACGCATCTTCATTATGATTATTTATTGAGGATAAATGTGGATGTCTATGGGCCACAGTATCCACTTACCATCAGGTGGACTGTGTGCTCGTTCATCCTATACTAAAAAATATAGTCGGTCTGCGACATTGTCGTAAAGATGAATTGAAATAAATATTTCGGTAAACTTAAAAGGCGAGACCGCAGTTTTTTAACAATATATACATTTCGCGAAGACGAAGTAAAGTATCTTTTAGTAGCGCCGAATAAACACTCCGAGGTTCAATTTTAAGTGCATAGTGTGGATTCGAACCCGTTGCCGGAAACATAACCATTAGCGGCGCTATTTCGTATCGAGAACAAGCGATACGAAATAATGAAGGTAAATGTATTACGCTAAAATGTATTAAAATTGTCTTTCAAACGTCCTATTGGTTTAAATAAAAAGCGATTACACTTGAATTTTTTCTTTTATTTTTCGAATACTATATCATTGAATAGAACCACTTTTACGGATTTTATAGTCTATTATTTTAAATAAATATAAGTATTTTATTATATTCATTGTTTTATAAAACATTACTTTCAGAAAGTAATGAAGCGATTTAATAGTTTTCCTTCTAAGCCTGCTAAAATGTAGCAAATCACTAAGTCGGATAAGGATGATATTGGGCGATGCAATGTTTTCCAACCTTTTTTAATCAGGGACCACTTTGATTTTTTTTACTGTTAGCAGGGAACACAAAGTTTTTGAAAAAACTATATTGATCTAACAATAAATTACAATCACAACTTTTAAATTTATTTTGTAATAAACTGAAAAGAAGCATTCATTAACACTTTTTTTATGATGGCAACCACTTGCCAGTGACCCATAGACACCTACATGTTGTATCCTCGATTACGAATCAAAATGCAGATGCGTTGTCACCCGAGAGGACTAAGATGGAATGCCTCGTTTCCAGAGTGAAAAGGGTCTCCGGTTCTCTACACTCACCATATGAAACACAGGAGTATTAAGCTACTATTTTACGCTGGTATTCTGTGAGAGCATGGTCCTTCCCCGGTCGAGCCGACCCATTCATGCTACAACTATAACTTACATGGTGCATGGATCTACCATGTAATATAAAAACGGGTAAATAGTAAATAGGGTGTTTCAATTTTACACACACGTAACATTTTACATACGTGATACATCTAATGCGAGGAAACTAAGATGTATTAACATTTTATGAGCTTATTCTTCTCGTCAAATCTGTAAACGGAACTAATTCTATCCATGACAAAATAACACACTTGGCATCCCCGTATTAAAACCTTGACTGTCGGGAAGTGGGTCAGTGGCCGGCGAATAGACGTGCGAGTTTTTCTAATATTACACCCGCGTTCTTATCCCAACGGACAGCTGCATGAACGTAAATATTTTAGTTCTTTTACAACATCTCATTTCAATATCTCACCATCAAACTGATAATTAGAGATGCATCCGACACCAATAAAATTTTAAATCGGTGATATTTTGGATTTGCCGATATATAGGTATTTGAAAAAACAAAAAAAAACTGTATTTAAAAAATAAAAATGAAACCGGAGTGACATACGATCTTATAGTTTACCTGATTATAAGTCGCTAGTGTAAGCTACTGCAGTTCATGGGGACCTGCAGCCAACTTCAAACAAAGAAGACTATGGATGACCTTTGAGGACTAAGATGAGAATGCCACACAGCTTGTAATTATGCTGGCTCTATGTATCCCTTAGACAGGGAATAGCAGTACAAGCACTGCTATTTGGTGGCAGCAATAGGTTAGAAGATGGTAACTATCCAGACGGACTCCTGGGTACAAGAGGAGCCCCCGGACGGCATACACATTTTCCCATGTTAAAAGAAAGGTACAAAAGCAGTCCTACCAAAGCATGGAAGAACACTATCTAGGTATTGTTTAGTATTCAAATGCGCTCTGTCGGATCCGAGACTTCCGTCCAGCGCCAGTCTCACCAATCTAACTAGAGCATTCCGCTGCTTTTAATGACTAATTTTTGAAAATTTATCTCACACATTGCAACCACAATTACCTGTCTTTAAAACCAAATTTTTTAAAGTGAGTCTTCTTTTAAATTCATTAAAAGTATCGATGTGGCTGAAAATTTTATGTGCCGGTATCAATATCGTATCGACAAAAGCGTGTGTAAGGACACACGTTTTTGCCGATACATTTTTAATGAATTTAAAAGTTGATTAAAATACGACACTATCAGTCTTTATATGATATATGATTTCTCCCTATTACTTAATGGAACAGTATGTTCCATTAAGTAATAGGGAGAAATCGTTTACTATTTTCGAATGAGATTGATGCAAAATCTCGATAATTCGAATCGGGAATTCGGAAGTCTATACCCTAGTTATTTAGGTCGCTCGAAGACAAAAATACCTTTGCAATCGACTGCATTTTGAGACAGTAAAAATGTAAATAATATTAAAGTGGGAGATTACTCACCATAACACATAGCTACACGTTAACTATCTGCGACTGCAATTTGGACTCAAAATATGGCGGTAGATCAAAAATATTATATGAACGCCAATAATAAAAGGTAACTAAATATCTAACCAAACATCAAACAAAACAAAAATATCTACGGTCGACTTTTATAAGATTTATCCGTGGTTTTTCTTCTACAGTTTCTTTTTTATGAGTTTAAGAGTCTACTACTAAACTCTGCCGCTTCTAGTTTATAATAAGGATATAAAAAAAATAACTTGGGGCTTAACTGATGTAATACATATATTAATATTATTAAAGATTTCGGTGGTTTTCTTATTTTTGGCACCTTCGACTAACATTGATTGCCAAAACGGGAAG